GTTCAAATAGCCTGTGAAGAAAACCTTGTCGATCTGGAATATGCAGACGACATCGTTCTCATGTTCGAAGAGGAGGAGAAGGCGCAAGTATTCTTGGATGAACTGACCAAAGTCCTTTGGTATGCATTTTGCACCCACAAAGTGTAAGGTCATGCTAACTTGCTAACTTGCTAAATTGCTAACTTGAGACACTTATGGCGTCAGAATGGTTTATCCCTGAATCTGAAGGGACGTGTGTATGAAGCTGCAGTACGGGCTGTTATGTTGTATGGCTGTGAGACTTGGCCTATTGGGGCAGCGGACCTGAGACGTCTTCAGGTGTTCGACAGTTGTTGTCTCAGAACCATAGCTCGTGTGGGTTGGTGTCGGCGAATCCGTAACGAAGCAGTTAGAAAGCGTGTTTTCGGTTGTGTAACGGGTATTTCCATTGAAGAATGTGTCCAGCACCAGAAGCTGCGTTGGTTGGGACATGTGTTACGTATGCCGAACCATCGTTTGCCGAAGAGAGTACTGTTTTCCATGCCCGATTCGGAGTGGCGTAAACAGAGAGGTGGCCAACCCTTGACTTAGCAGAGGAGTATGAAGGAAATCACGAAACGCTTGGGTGCTGTCGGTGCTACTCGCCTTCCAGAATGGGGACCGTGTGATCCTTACTGTGCCTGGTTGGAGACACTACAAGAGATGGCTGCCAACCGATGTCTGGAGGTGTAGGCACCTCGGAATGATTGTGTTAAGCCAGCACTAAGTCCCTTCCCCGTCCACCTTTATTTTTTTCTTTATAATAAGGCTTTCAAATAAGTCATGGTTGTGCGGCACTGATATCATGCTGTCGATGTTGATGATGATGATAGCTAATATTGATGGGCCATTTCATAAAGCATTCGTAGCTCACTTTCCGTTTATGCATCTCACTTTGTTTGTTGCGCTGATACCACAGCTTTAGAGTCCCTACTCAAAGAAAATTTGCTACAGAGCTAATCTAATATGCAATCAGCCGGAATAAAGATTGTTTTTGCATTATTTTTTGACAGTCTATGGGAAATACCGAACATTGCTTCAACTGCTATCGCTAACTATTATTAATTCGAAATCGCACACCTGCTTACTGTCACATCCACTCGAACGCTACAGGCCTAAAGTTGTAATAAATCCAAGTGACATGAATAGATGCATACATTATGATTCCAGCTCCAATAATCCTGTTTCGGCCAGCATCACATCACTAGCCCTTCCAAATAGTCATACTGAAAGTTCGAGAAAAATTTGCTGGTTTAAGACACGGAGCTACTGACTGCCACTAACAGTCTTTCTCATCTTGACCATGCCTTCGTTCCTGCGGGTAGTCAGTACTACATAGGTAGCAACAACAGTTGAAAATGATCGTGAATCGCTTTGTTCCCCATGCTAATAAAATAAATAATAAATAAATCACTCAGCTGTAGCACCCTTTCGGTGCCTAGCTGCCATGCCACCTGAAGGAAGCACGAGGGCTGGGATACTGCCAGGTTGCCTAAACCCAGACAGGGGAGGTCGAGAGGCAGAGGTCGGGTTCGAACCGCTGACCTTCCGGTCAGTAAATTAGTACTCTAACCACTTGGCCCATCTCACCCCTATCTCACCCATCTCCCCATGCTTATACTATTTTCCATTGTCTTATAGGCGGTTTGTCGACCGATTGTGAACGTGTTCAAAGTGGACGGTGCGCCGTCAGGTATGACGATAAAAATGCCTGCGGTCTTCAGTGCACCACTACGAAGTGACTTGTTAAACTTTGTCCATGACCAGATGCGCAAGAATTCTCGTCAACCGTATGCGGTTAGCGCGAAAGCTGGCCATCAAACCTCTGCTGAATCTTGGGGAACCGGTCGAGCGGTTGCCCGTATCCCGCGTGTGCGTGGTGGCGGAACCCATCGTTCGGGTCAAGGTGCTTTCGGTAATATGTGCCGAGGAGGGCACATGTTTGCACCTACTAAGGTCTGGAGGCGCTGGCATAAACGCATCAATGTTCAACAACGCAGATACGCCATGTGCTCTGCGATTGCGGCTACCGGTGTTCCGGCCCTCGTTATGGCACGCGGCCATAGGATTGATCGTCTACCCGAGGTTCCATTGGTGATATCTGATGAGATTGAGTCGGTTAAGAAGACAAAGGAAGCAGTGAAGGTTCTCAAGTCAGTGAAAGCTTGGTCTGATATTCAAAAGGTGTACAATTCGCAGCGCTTCAGGGCTGGTCGGGGTAAAATGCGCAATCGACGTCGAATTCAAAAACGTGGTCCGATCATCATCTTCCGGAAAGATGATGGAATAACGAGAGCTTTTAGAAACATTCCAGGTAAGGTACCGCTATTTTGATAAGAACCTTTAGGTGTCACCTTGATCAATGTCAACGTCCTGAACCTTCTGAAGCTTGCGCCTGGTGGTCACATGGGTCGTTTAGCCATTTGGTCTGCCAGTGCGTTCCGTCAGCTGGACAAACTTTATGGCACCTGGAAGACCCCTAGCCTGAAAAAATCTGGTTTCCACCTCCCGAAACCGAAAATGACAAACTCTGATCTTGGGCGCTTACTGCACTGCCGTGAAGTTACATCTGTCCTCAAACCCCGTCGCCTGCACCTTCAACGTCCAGGTCCAAAGGTCAAGAAGAATCCTCTGAAGAATATACAGGTACGTGTGCAACGCATGATATCTTTGATTCTCATTGTTTTTGTTATGGTCTCTAATGAGGTACCAGTCAGACTTGTCAACCACACCGGAATCGAGAAGGCAAACAACCTGGAGGAATTCGTACTGCAAATTTAACCGTTCCGTGATATGAATTCAAATAAACAATGTAAAAAAGAGCGGACAGTTCAATAGTGTATCAATGGAAAGCTGTCATGGAGAAGGGAAGACTTCAGTCTACAAGATGAATTGTTAGCAAAGTTGATTTGTTTGTTTAGAGCAGTCCTCCTAACAATTTCTAAAAGATTTTGTTTGAAAATGTGATCTGATGCTTCTCAGTGCTACGTTAAAACTCAATAGCGTACATCAGCCGGAAATGAGTTGATTTGGACTTGTTTTACGGTGAGCCTCCAGGACGAGATGCAAGTTCATGCTTCTTTTTCAACGATAGACCTTAATCGAGTGCATCCTGTTTCGGAAATGACCCAGAATTTCAATACGCATGATCTGTTACATTGAACAACGTAGAACAGAAGCAAATAGTGGGTTTGAGTCAACATACGTAACACCAGCTTTTGGAAGTTTAGCATTTCTAGAAATTAGAGCTAACCTCCTAATCCGGTAATGAGGTTCAGGCTACACTCACCGGGAACGTCTTGGAGTTTCCTCACAATCAAGGTGGATTCCATCTTCCCTTCTCCGTTGCTGTAGGCTGGTGTACCCGTATCCCATGAACCCTCAGTCAAGACGCAGAAGGCGATGTGGTTTACAATTACGAACGAGGCACAAATATATATACAGGTTTCCAAACATTCTTGAGAGACATTCAATTTTCAGCGGTCTCGTGGCTTCTTCCGTAGACTCTAGTTTAACTGATTTTACATGGAACTGGTAATCGGTTCTTTGATGCACTGTTGTCACAGGATATCGATCTCCGTCAGCGTTTTTCAACAGTACGGCTCTTTTTTTGCTTCCATTGCAAAATCTTCCATCATTCTTGGCCGAATGGTGTGGCGGTAATAATGCGATATTTTCATAATCTGTGGATCTTTGGACTAAGAGGGTTGGGATCAGTGTGTTGTTCACACAATCCAAGGCTCAACTACTGCTGAAGATTTTCTCAATTCGGACACATCCTCGTGGACACTGAAAGGTATCGGCCACTCATAACAGGAAAGCTGTATTCTGAGGTTTTGTTACACACTTGCATGATAAACTCGTATCACACTTTCGCAAAACTTTCTCAAACTGTCCGAACGGGTCCACTTAAAGTAGCCGCTTTGGAGGATCATATCAATTTGGTACAAATGCACCACTTCAGCTGCTGACAAAATATAGTACACATGAAACCGATAGATTGTCTGCCCTAATGAACCACGGAAGACTGGTGAAATTCAACTCGATGGTTCTCGGTGTCAGTAGTCCAGATGTTGGCACTTGACTTGTTCTTGAATGACATTCAGCACACTTCGAATCCATTGATTCATTTCTCTGTCTTCCCTCAATAAAGGCACTCCTCAAGTTGAACCCATTTGCAATTGGTGAAAAGAATATGAGGATAGCGCGGCAACGTTACGTCGAAAAGATGAAAGCCAAAAAAAGGGAAGAACTGAAACGAAAGGCCGAAGCGACTGGCGTTCCGCCTGCGAAGAAGGCGAAGAAAGTAAAGTCAGAAAAATCTATTTAAGCGAATCTTTACAATACAAACTTATGGGATAATTGTTTTTTTCCTCGAATACGTCGGTTAGCTGGGCTGTTTTCTCTGCTGTTACCTACACCACTTGACTTCGCTTTACAGCCGCGAGTTTCCACAAGTCGCTGGCTATTACAGGCCACTGTTTTGGGTTATTTGATAGGGAAGTTATCCGGCAAGCAAACAGCTAGATGCATGTTGAACGCAGGGATGACCTTTCTTTGCCGTAACCAACTAAGGGTTTTCGACAAATGAGGTCGTTGCGCGAGTCTGAAGGGTTGTAAGGTTTTTTTTCATTTGAGACATATGGCGGCACATAGGCATAATCCAAAATCTCAAGGGACGCGGGTATCAGGCTACTGTATAAGCCATTTTATTGTAGGGATGTGAGACATGGCCTCTGCGAGCAGCGGAACCGAAACATCTTCGGGTCTTCGACAACCCTGGTATCAGAACATTATCTCGTGTGAACTGGTGCCAATGAATTCGCATCGTGACAGCGAGTGTTTGGTTGTGAAACGGTTACTCCGGAAGCTGAGGTGCTTACGTCGTATGCTGCGCGTGTCATGCCATCGTTTACCGAAAGTTAGGGGGTACTGTTTTCCCGGCCCGATTCAGCCTTTGACCTGGCAGAGAGGTATGAAAGAGACTACGAAAATCTGTCGGTGCCACTAATATTCCATGATGGGGATGCGTGACTCTCCCGTGTATGGTTGAAGACACTGCATGGCTTAACTGCTAACAACATCGGTGTTGACGGTGATGCTTCACTGCTTGACAACGATGTCAGCTAAGCAACCATTCTTAAGACCATACCACTTTACTAGCATAGCAGGCAAATCACCAGCATACAACAATCACTGAACTTCTGACGGATCATTTGCATGCAGTGCTTGCTTAGCAAAACAAGAAGCAAGTTGTGTTATTTCGACCTGTTGGCACTCATTTTGCGTGTGCTGTTTGTTGTGCCCCACAAGGAGCGTGATGATGGCAGAAATGATTCCCTCCCGGCTCAGAACTGATTTGGATTGTTTAACATTTGCACAAACTGTCACAGGTCGTCACAAATGAGGCCAGATGTAGTATCAAGTAAACCTTGATCCTTGTCGTCCAGGACATATCTGTGAATCCTATGCTAGAACAAACTTATTCTCCACGTAGTCAGCAGCATGAAAATTTCTGGAGCAGAGGAAGATCGTTTCAGGCTTATCGCCAAACAAGTGGTTCTACTTGAGAGAGAATAAGCTTCGCTTATTCATGCATTGTGGGTATAGCCGTTACATATCAGTTTTATGTGTAGGGCATTCACATAGCTTGTTTTGTATATACGGTTGGCCCAAGTGGTTAGAGCGCGAATTTACTGACCGGAAGGTCCGTGGTTCGAATCCGACCTTCGCCATTCGACTTCCCCTGTCTAGGCTTGGGCAACCTGGCCGTATCCCAGCCCTCGTGCTTCCTTCGGGTGGCATGGCAGCTAGGCACCGGAAGGGTGTTACAGCTGAACGCTTACTTATATACGGTTGAACTGCGGTTAGGTTTTTGCTTGTTTCAGCTATACGCGTTCCTGTCGCTCTGGAAGAAATGTGAGCAGTTGTTATATGTGGTGCATTTGGTTCTAAAGTAACGGCAATTAAATGTGACAAAACGGATTGAAGTCGCGTAATTCGCGGTAGTGGCGCTTAGTTTGACACAGTTTATCGCGATATACACTACGGATTGTTAACTGTGGATAACGATTGCGATTTTTCAGTTCGCCCTAATTTTTGATGCACAAATGGGTGAATATCGCTCAACAGACGTGACCGTGTGCCTGAGAAAATAGATGACCAAGAAAACACCGTATATTCTTTATATACTGTTTGGCGTATACATTACATGAAGTTCAGTCAGTCTCTTTAACCGTCACCATTATCATGTCCAGTGTACCATCACACGTCCAAAGCCACAATCGTCAGAAGATGGGATACATACGTCAAGTTCGAAACGGTGGTAGCCAGAAGAGTTACGACTAAAAATGGAAACATATATATTACCATGCAAGCCTCGGCTCTAAAGTATTAATAAACGGGAAAGCAGCGCAGCCCTCAGTAGTTTCTTTACGTTACGATTTCCCAGTTAAATTTAATGAGCCTTCCAGTAACTATCTTACAGCGGTTTCTAGAATGTATATATGATAGAAAGTTCGAGATTCCCTATATAAGCACTTGGTGTAGCAAAATGCTGTCCCTGATCCCAGCCTTAGCATCGAAGGGGAATCTCATCAAAGGAGAACACAACAGCTTCATTGCGAAGAAGCGATTGCAAAAGTTACAAGGGTCCTCATGATATCTAATGTACACTTTTGACACTAATCCAGGCTGTCTGATCGGCGTTGGTTGAACACCCGTCGTCATCGGCCGTGCTTCTGTGGCAAGCCTAACCACTTGTCTGTTGCTACTGAATTGAATGACTGCTTGAACTTTCCATGGGAAGTTGGCTTTTTCGACTTGCACACTTGACGGCACCCCTACTGTTATTTTGGTGGAGTTTGTGTGTCCCAGTAGGTTTATGGCATTCTGGGGCTATTTTCACGAAGCCCTACCGTTAGGATCAACGAAGTGAAACTTATGGGACAAGACTGGTGGAAAACTAACTCGGTGTTTTGTTTCAGTGGTTAGTGAGGTAAACTTGAATTTGCGTCCCGGTTGTATATTACTGTATGTAGGCCTATGGACTCACTAATTTGACCGGAATGAGATCAGTACACTGGGAAGAGCGAGAACAAAGAAAGAACGCAGATTTATGGGGTCTAGATACTCAAGTGATGGTGGGATAGGCCAACGTGGCAGCATAAAGGCGGAAGTGACTTGAGTCAACCTGGCTGACGTGAGCGCGCTTTTGTTTGTGGGTTACGTGGTCATCTATGCACTTGTTTGTTGACGCTGCAGCGCACTCAACGACGACTCCAGTATTGCATGATCCTGCCTCATCACTATCAGCAGTTCCGGGGCTGACACATGCTTCACAACCACAAGGTTAATCTAATTATATCTGAAGCTTTAAATTGGAAAGTAGAAAAAAGAATGCATAAGGAAGGGACCTTGTGTTTAACTGTCGCAGGCATTCTGAGGTACATGCACCTCCAAGAGGTCGATCAGACAATATGGAAAGAAACTGACAATCATCAGCCACTGCTCCTTTCAGTTTCTTCAGTCAAGCGCAGGAGAGGAGGTGAGGTCACGGAGACCCTATCCTATCAACGGTCACCTACCACGCAGTTTGCGCAATTCCGAAGAGGCAAAAAGAATAACACTTCAGCAGACGATGTTTCTGCATATGTGGGACGTGGCCAAGCTACCACAGTTGATATTGCTGGATGCTCTTCGCAACTGGAACTCTTGCTTCATAATCACCTGCCCGTTTCCAAGTAGCCTATTTCAGAATTTGCAGACGCCAACCTGAACCAACACTCCTTTTGGGACACCGGTTATAAAAACTTGAAGAGGCCTCACATCTCTATCCAGAGGCCATGTCCCGCAGCATCCCTTTCGACGTAAGGCTTTTCATACTATTAGATGAGTTTCCTTCGTATAGTGCACGTCAGTTATAAGGTCCAGCTCACTTTGCTACAGTCCTTCCGGGAAGTGTTTCTTTTACCGCAGGATAGTTGACCGCCCGAATTCTGTCGTAGGTGTGTGTGGGCACAGGGACCTCCAGGTCCTCCACCGAAGTTCGCATGATCTACCTAGAACAAGTCGTGGATCTGGTTTCTGACAGCCTTCTCACTTTAGCGAGCCACTTCTTCCCATTCGAATCTTCGACCAAAAGGAAATATTTACTTAGTTGTGTAGCTTGATTTTCTACCACCTGATACTGGCAACTAACGGATCAATTGTCACAATCCCTGTGTGCCCACCTACTGAGTCCCTTTAAGAATGCGCGGTCTCGTTTGCCTTAACTTTTCGAGATTCGACTAATCATTTCCCAATGACTAGACCTCTTTCTGAGCCTTATTGCTCACAGCTCCCATGCACTTAAAGATAGGCGTTGTGACTTGTCGTTATGCGTTGGCTGCCTTTATGGCGCTTCACATATCCCAGCGAATAAGTTTTCAGAACCCAGGGTATAGTGTGCAGTTCGGCTTTCGAGCAGCAAGCAGGTGCCTTCTCACAAAACCCAATTTGAAGCCCCTCAGAGAATCACAAGTTAGCTGTAGCCTGTTAAACTCAAGTGTATAATGATACATCAGTGTAGCTGGTCATTGATCACCAAACCAAACCATGGTTAGGGCAACTGGCAACACCGCATTTTATTCCAACAATGCAGTATCGCATCTACATACCAACGGGTCTGAATGATAGGCGAAAGTTTTGAATAAAACGACCTATCCCGCGGAGAATAGAGGTTTAGGCCTGTTTGGTTTGTCTGAGTGTTTCTGACTATGGTGGTTTTGACGGTAAGCCCATACAGAATTCAACATACAAATACAGTGTGTTTCTTACAATGCAGTCGCAAGCAGTGAGCGAATTTCAGCTATCAGTATTTCACGGAAAATATTCAGATATGCAGAACAGCTGTGCTGTATTATTTTAGACAAGTTTCGTATATTCTCCTGTATTATCATACTCATGTTTTGGCATCCTCCGCACTCGTTTCTTAACCTTCTTTTCCTTGGTTTGTTTGTCCTGCGGTATGTGCCATACCTAACATCGATCAAGAAACCGTTTATTCGTGGTCTTTCGCTCTCCGTTATCATAGACAGTGTATCACCACTGAACGCCGGTTCTTCATGGGTCAATGATTCGCGCCGCCGTAAGATACTGAAGAATCGGTGACACCAGAAACCTTGCTACAGTGGGAGTCAAACCAACACTTTGGTTATCTAGAACAGTCTGTTTACCTCATATGGACAGAGCTAGGCTAGACAGGCGCTGGGGAGTTCACCACCATCTTTGAAGGAGCAGGTGGAAGGTCATCAGGGCCAGGAGTACGATGACGCTTGGGTAGAGACACACTTAGACAATTCTGAAGCTGGGGCGGTTCCATGTT